CAAAACAAACTTAATCAGGCTGACACTCCTCCAAAAACAAGCTGTTCGACACATAGAAAACCTTGCTTATCTTGACCATACAGCACCGTTTTTTTTAAAAAATGAGATATTAAAAGTGGATCAGCTATACTTCCTCAAACTTGCTACATACATACACAGTAAAATGCGTCAAAATGAATCTATGTTTACACACATGTACTTGACTAACCGCAATCCATATATTTTGCGACACAGCCACCTCGAAGTTCCGTTTTGCAGAACAAAATACGGTACTAAACAGCTAAAATACATGATCCCTAGTTTCCTAAACCAACATCCACAATTACTTAGCAATGTGTATGAAGTTTCATCAAAATCCCTGTTTAAGCGTGTTGTTAAATTATATTTGCTGTCTTGCGTGCCTTTCATAGTATGAGTAGACCTCTAACAACATGTGGCTTAAGACCTGTTATTCCTGTATGTATGTCGTCGTCCCTTGCAAGTAGCGCTATGTCATGTTTTCTTTTTTTTTTTTTTTTTTATTTCCGTGCTGAGCTTCCGCTTTCTAATGTATAATTTCTTACTGATAGCCACAACCCTGTTGGACAGTGCTTGGGTGGTAGGGCCATTGTCAGGCAGTTAATTCTGCCTTTAGCCATACCATCCCTCGACATGTATTATGTTGAAAATAAACAATTCAATTCAATTCAATTCAATTCAATACTTGATTGCCACACAGTATGCTGGTGTTCGATTCCTGCTGGGACCCTGACATTTATTCTTTGCATTCGTCGGGTCGACGCTGCTGACGTCAGCTTTTTCTTAACGCTCACGCGTTAAATGTACCCATGTCTGTTCCCACCGTTCCTGGGTCGATACGAAGTGTCAATCACCAGTGGGACCTACCCGCATACCAGTGGCACATACCCACCCGCGGATTTGTGCCACTGCATCTTTCGGCTATTCGGCCCACGCTGGTAAACTCGCGTGAATTTCCAGAAGTTTCTTTAGCTGAATTGAGTCAGACAGTATTATGCTTACCGAGGACAGCTCCCGAACCAGATGGAATTACGAACTCTGTGTTAAAACTTTTACTCCAGGAATCGCCTAATCTTTTGCTAAAACTAGTGAATTCTTCGTTAGGGAACGCATGGATGCCTTCGGAATGGAAACTTCCCAATATTATATTGTTGTTAAAAAAATTAAAATTAAGCACACATGTTAGATAACATAAGACCAATCGCACTGACATCAAATTTAGTTAAGGTGGTTGAGAGAATCATCAATATACGGATTAATGAACTTACTACCGTGAGGTCAATTCTAAGCCCTTGTAAAATTGGGTTCAGGGCTGTTTGTTCAATTAGGGATGCGCACGTTGATTTAGAAAGTCGGTTTCAATTAGCTCGGCTACATAACAAATATGTAGATTTAGTTACCTTAGACATCGCTAAAGCATATGATACCGTGGAGTACTGTATTCTGATAGATCGATTAGAATACATTGATTTTCCATCACACATAGTAGCGTCGGTTCACAATTATCTTGCAGACAGGAAATTTAATGTTTTAAAGATGGGTTTTCATCATCTACTCATGCACAAACGAGGGGAGTACCGCAAGGCTCAGCGCTTTCCCCGGTGCTATTTGATTTACTAATGAGCAGCATTCCACATAAACAGGACGTAACAACTTATGTTTATGCTGACGATATGGCGTTTTTCGCAATGGCAGATAACATTCAGACCTTATATGAACGGCTGCAGACTTACCTAAATATATCGGAGAGCTGGTTCGAAGGCAACTGCTTTCTACTTAATCCGAGTAAATGTGCCCTCCTTGTTTTCCCGCTGCAATACCCCGTACACATCTCTCTGTCTTATCATCATGAGGATATACCACAGGTGAAATCAATGGAGTAATGAAATACCTTGGAGTAATTAATCACACATCGCCTAACTGGCGATCTCATATCGAATATATTGCCGGGAAAGGTGTGCGGGCCATTGTCATATTACGTAGGCTAAGCAACTACCACATAGGTATGAGAAGAGAGACACATTGGTAATGATATATCGCATGTACGTTCGTCCCATTTTGGAATTTGGTTGTGTACTTTTCTCTGGAGTTCCAGCTTACAAGTTGCGGCCTCTAATTTTTCTGGAAAGAGAAGCTTTGCGCTTATGCCTTGGCCTTCCCAAAACAGTTGCCAACAATGTGTTGTATCTCGAATCGAGGGTCCCTCCGCTTTCTTGTAGAATTCGCCTTCTGACTGTTCAGACATTCTTAAGAGTTTCTGAACCACCATTCCGACATTCAGAAACAGCCTTTATTTCCACCCCGGAATCATTTTTTGCTGCTAGATGGCCGCGATTTCACACGCCACAAATTATATTTGTGCAAAATTTACTGGAGCCTCTACACGTACGTATATGCGACATCGCGCTGAGTCATGATAATTTATACCCTGTGGAAATTCAATTTGACGATGTTTTTCCTAATAACGCCCATTTACTTCCCCATAATATTTTGCATGGTGTACGACAAGATCACCTGCGCAGTATTACAACAAACGTTATTGTTGCTATATCAATATACAAACGCATTGCAATGTGATGAAAAGTCAGGATTGGGTATTTTCAGCCTGATTTTAAATTGGATTTATTCCCTTCGACTACCCGATTTCATACCCGTTCTTGTGGCTGAATTTCTGGCAGTAGTGCTCGCCTTATGCAAGTTCAATACAGCAATTACCTCAGCTGTCATAATAACATATTCCCTATCTCTCTATGCGGCACTTTCTGTTGATGCTGATAATCAAGTAACAAAGGCGTTCCATGCACTACAGTGCCTGCGCATTTGAGAAAAGTTTGATAAGTTTGGGTGCCTAGACATAAAGGCTTATTTCTAAATGAGATAGCCGATTTCTTAGCTAAGGCATCAATTAGCGAACCGAGTCTACCGCACTGTCCTTCATCCGCTTATGTGGCTCCTGCTCGGTTCCGCAGACATACGCTTATGGACGCCATTAGAGGTACAGCACTAACAAACTCTACTGAATATTGCCATTTATTATATCCCTGGCGAAGAGACTTTTGCCGCACTAGTAAACAATAAGTAGTTATCACAAGGCTGCTCTGCCGGGTACCAAATCTAAATTTCTATAAACACGGGGTCTGCTCAGGCACCTTCGCCACTGTGCGCTTCCTGTGATGGACTTGAAACAATAGATCATTTCGTTTTGACCTGCAGGCGGTTTAACACATTACGAAAAAAACTTTTCAGAAATACCTTCACGTGGTATTAGAGAGTTTTAGTACTGCGAAATGGTGCTACGTACGCATCACGCAAGCGCCTTGCGTTACGTGGCGTCGTTTGCCACTAATCGGCTTTTAGTACGCCGTAGTACCCGCGTACGTAACGAGCGTGGAGCGTGTTGCGTCGTCTGGGTAGATCAAAAGAGGAGCACGTGTTGTTGACAGCCAATGTGAGCCAATCCAAGTGTTATGGCCATATTTTAAGCCACAGAGCCGGTCGGTGCTTGCCTTCGATGCCGCCATTTTGCAAAACGAAGTCTCGCGCTGTCGCGAACTTGTTCGAGAGCGGCGCGTTCACCTGATACGTACGCACGCACGCATCTCATGCGTGCGTACGTAGCAGCTGTGTACGTAACGCGATACGTGCGCGTTGCGGTCTGCGCATGCGCACTACGCAAAACGTGGCGCCCTTACGTACGCAACGCCGCCACGTACGCAGCGTACGCAGTACTAAAACTCTCTATTAATATGGACTTATCAGTGCCTGTCATTTTGTCTTTTGGAGCTTTCATTTCTGGGTTCTCTAATGCGGCAGTATGCGCGGCCGTCCGAGTCTATATTGATGAAACTAATAGGTTGACTAATTTGTTTCATTATTCAAACATGTCTACAAAATTATACGTATAAAAATCAGATTATTGCTGTATTCTAAGAATAAATTCGTTTCTTTATTTGAATAATTGTCTGCATTAGATCAAGAACCACACTTTCCTAAGTCATCGGTAATCTTTTTATTATATCTCCATTATTCTAAATCTGAACAATAATTTTTAAAACCACTCGATTCTTGGTCAATCACCCATAATGGGTATGCGCCACAGACAATAGGTGAACAAGAACAAGGATACCACGCTTCTCATAAGGACAAAAAATAGCATAGCGAATGCCGGCCTACTACCTAAAAAAGTTAATAATAATGACACAGTGGGTATCAAGCAAGCGTGCTTGCAGTATTTACTCAATGAGTGTTTCGAAAAGGCTCTGAGAGGCCGCTGTTATAGCTTTTGCTGTGACTGTGCTGCGCCTTTACCGCAAGACTGGCGTTTTTCATGTCATGACCAGTGAATCATAAAGTTAAACAATTTTACCCTCCCATACCAATTTTAAAGACGATATATTCTTTCTCGGGGACCTTCTACGCAAAAATTTTGGTCTGTCTGTACACTTGTCTGTTTCTCCGCCCTTAACGGTACCCTAAACGGCACCAAAGTTGCCAAACGATAGTCCAAACGACCAACCCAATCCGCAGCGCCCACCAATATTGCTCAAAAATCAGCGTTCATACTTGTGCGATTGTCAACTAAAAAACAATTATTGCGCATACATGAGGCACCATAACAACACGTCAATATTCTGCATGTGTGTGTCTCACTAGAAAAGACATACATAAGTAATTCTAAGGACCGTATAGCGTTTATCACGTTGCGCTGACCATGCAACGCTTGCACGAAAAGGCAAGCGTTTCCAACGCTTTGCTAACGCTGTTTTTCACTGGTAGATTCGGAGCAGGTTTTTTTGCTCCGTGGCGACGAAACCGCATTTCACTGGTAGATTCAGAGTGGATCCGCGCTTTTCACTGGTAGTTTCAGAGCAGCTCGCTCCGAGGCGGATTGCTCGCACTGCTCCGCCGACAAGTCGCAGATTCGGGCGGAAACACGACGAGCAGCATACGTCACTTCCGTCGTTGTACGTTGCTGATTGAAAATGGCTGCGTTCGCTGCCTTGGCGGAACTTCTGTCTAGCGACGAAAGCACTTCAAGCAGCAGCTCGTCCAGCTCAGACGACGAAGACTTCGAGGAAAGACAAGCGCTATGCGAAGCCTTCTTTCGGGAAACTTTTTCGGAGTCCCACCGCGAACGTCCCAAAATTTTGGGGTTCATCGAGAACGTTGCGCGGCTGTACACAGACGAGCAGGTAAGCGCGGAGCTCCCTCTTTTCATAATACTACATGAACCTAATTTCATCTTTTTATCATTTCCTTCTCTGCAGTTCCGTCAAGACTTCAGGGTGTCGAGGCGTGTCGCGGAAACGTTGATCCGTGGTTTTGAAGGCTCGCGTCACTACCCATGCAGTGATCGTGGTGGGTCCCCCTCGAAAACCGCGGAAGAGCACATTCTGGTCTTTCTGTGGTAAGTCTGCACGCTGTTTTAAAAGTCATGCCTACCAGTGTGTATAATCTTAATGCTTTCAAGTGCTTCGGCGTAGAAGTACGTTTTTTCGTTGCGTGCGCAGAATTTTGACGGGGAGTCCAACCATTATAAATTTTTGTTCGTGTGTTTATGTGCGCGTGTGTAGAGAATATACACATGTGAAATTTAACAATTTCGGCGGCGTTAAATCTCCCTAGTAGCCTTCCCGTGGCTACGCCGCTTGTGCTTTTTGTCCTTGAAAGTTGCTAAGTGTGATGCAATGGAAACCAATGAAATATGACCGCTTGCAACTGCACAGCCAGAGAGAACAGTGTTAAGAGCTTCTACTTTTCTTACGGCTGCTAATTTTGATGCAAATATTTCATGCCTTTATTTCACAAAGCAGGCTTTACTTGATCACTTTCTTCCATAATGTGTGTTTGCTGTGTCAGGTTTGCTGCAAACAAGGCGTGCCTGAGGGACGTTGCTGGACGCTTTGGCATGGCAACTGCGACAGCATTTAGAGTCGTGGAGCGCACGCTCGAATATTTCCTTGATATAGCCGAAGAGGTAATATCATTTCCAGGAGATCTTGATCAGCTGTCAGCGGACTTCGAACAAGTAAGAATTTTAGGTATTTCACTGTTCCATGGCAAACACAACAAATGAGTTGTCTAATTGAAGCTTACTTTAGAGAATAGTCACATAATACATTGATTGTAGCAGGTTAAGCTGCCGTTGGGGCACAGGGGATGTGGTACTAAGTTGCGCTTGAAAGATGGGGTTATTGTCAAGCAGTCTCACTATCAAATGAGAAATGCTAGAGAAACATGTATTGTTCATTTACAGTGCACATAAAAGCAGGGTGTCTGCCAACGTGGAAAAGTCAGGGAATTTCAAAAAAACCAGGCCAGGTCATGAAAACTGACAGCAGTTCTGTGGGACCGTCACAAAAATAAGCATCGCCATTCATCAAAGCTTAAAAAGTCTCTCAGCTGCAACTACAGTGGGCTGCTGGAAGGTGTGTGAAAAAAAAAAAAGGACAGTGCATAACTCTTGCTTCTGAGTGTAAACGCGAAAGGGACCCATAGAACACAAAGTTTACTGACATTTCAGTACCTCATATGGGAGAGAGCCTTGTTTAAAAGTCATGAAAAAGGCACAGTGTACTTCAGTACGCCTAAATACGTGACGTAAGCAGAGAGAGTACATTGTCAGAAGCCTCCCATCACTCCTGTGCAGCGTATGTACAGTTGTCTGTATCTGGATTCGAGAGTTTTACAAGTCTATTTGGTGGTCTGTGATTCCGTGTGTTCAGGGAGGGCAGTCGAGGCCACGCCTCGTTTTGTGGTATCATATTTGTGTTGTTTAACTTTTACCAGTTTCACCGATGTACTGGTCACAATTATGTCAGCCTATGGCATAAACTAGACTAAGGAAATTTCTGCTCGGCAACTTGTCCTTCACATTGGCTAAAGCATTCTTTAACATCCATGTTGGTATATCCACTCTTTTGGTGCCTGTTGCTTCTACATATCACACGGCATATCTGACTCACGTCTGTAGATTTATGCATGTTTGTCTATGCCACGATTTCGGCCCGGCTTGAAGGCCGTCTGGTTTTTCTAGGCTAGAACTGCTATCAGCTGAAGCTTGCTGGGCTACTCATGTCTTTTAATAATAATAATAATAATAATAATAATAATAATAATAATAATAATAATATTATTATTATTATTATTATTATTATTATTATTATTATTATTATTATTATTATTATTGGTGGTGCAACACCAAACGTCTTCAGCTACACACTTATGCTGGTAGCTCGTGTTTCAAGGGTAGAACTTGGGTAACTTCAGCTAAATTTTTCATTTCAGTTTTGTGAGATTGTGTAAATAAATCTGCAATTATTTTTCAGTGTCACGTCTACAGCAGAGTACGTAAATCAAGGTAACATGCGGACATTCATGATTCATCTATAGAATCAAGGAAACTGTTCCACCTTGACAAATTCATTCTCACCACCACATATTCAAATGTCAGCACTTTAAACGTTGACCCCAGCTTTCATTTCACTTCAAGTATGACAGCCCAGATAAATGCATGTGCTTGTCGTAAAAAAAAAAAACATTTTGCAGTATGGCTATGTTCTTGCAACGTTGTCGTTACTCGTTGTCAAGGCAAGATACATAGAATATGCGAGTAGTAGTTATTTACTTTTTTTGTTGAAAAGTATACTTTAGAGGTGTGCAAATTAGGCGGCGGCGCAAATCAATAGTAAATACATCAATCTAGGTCGAATCAGTTCTAATCTAATCTACATATAAATAGGTGAGTCAGTAAATACAGTAGTTCAGGTCGATCTAATTAAATCCAATCCACATCCTAACCGGCGTGGGCTACAGCCATTATAGTAAAATAGATTTTACTCCAGTGGCAGAACCGGCCAGGCTCCTGTGTTTTCATTTTACACGAATGCCACCAAATGGCACCACTTCTAAGTTTCTCAGCAGCTTTGACTGCGATGTCAAACGATCGCAGACACCTTCAAACTTCATCTGCGGTTACTCTTAACTTGTGTGTTTTCTTCCTGGTTCTTCGGAACATCAAACAGCTGACTTGCTCACTGCCTAGCTCAGGGGTTTTATTTTGGCCAGATTTACATGTTTTTTCACAATTGTCGCATGCCCTGAGAACATTTGAGTGCGTCTGGTAATTATGTTTACCTTTATAGAGCGCCCGGTTTTTTTTTTCTACTCGGGTTTGTTTGCAGTGTACAGTGTTTTCCATGCAAACGTGGCAGTCATGGAATTTGCTTTGAATCATGATGGAAAACCTGGGAAATTCAAGGAATTTAGAAATATGAAATTGGTAGACACCCTGAAAGGGACCCCTGGCACTTAAAATTTCTAATGCCTTTTGCTGTGGTGTTCCGTACAATGATTCCATAGTTCTGGCATGTAAAAGACTTGTGTCACCTAAAGTTAACTCCGCTAAGACCAACAAAACTACTGCATCAAGTGTTAAGATTATTTACTTCAAGAAGTTCACTACAGGTGTGTTCTTTTTCTCTCACTGTCACAGGTGTCAGGAGTGCCCAACACGATCGGTTGCATTGACGGATCCTACATAAGCATCCGCTGCCCTGCAAAAAAAGTGCGTTCAACCTATGTGAACAGGCACAGTTATCCGTCACTGACACTGCAAGCTCTGTGTGATCACAAAAAGAAGTTTCTCGATGTGACTACTGGACACCCCAGCAAGATTCACGATTCGAGAATCTTCAGGACATCGAGGCTTTCTTCAAAGTTGCCGCATGTGTGCTGTTCCGGGAAGTACCACGTTCTCGGGGACGCTGCCTACCCGCTTCGAGATTACCTCATAACCCCATTCAGGAATTATGGTCACCTTGACGCGAGGCAGCGCGCCTTCAATTATCACTTTTCGGCAACGAGAGTGAAGATTGAGAATGCCTTTGGAGACCTCAAGGCCAGGTTCCGCCAGCTGCTGCACCTGGACTTTCTGTTTGTAGACAAAATGAACAAGTTCATTATAGCTTGTTGTGTTTTGCACAATATGTGCATTAATTGTGGTGATGTGGATGTGCCGCCGTACATCGATGATGAACATGCACCGTGGGAATGGGAGGCACAACCGGATGATGTTCCCCCCAACAATGGCCCGCTTGCATCAACTGAAGATGCACTGCGTCGCCAAGGCGAGGAGAAGCGTGAGCGCTTAATGCAAGCGATGCGCATTTGATTTAAAGTTAGGACTGCCTACGTGTACACAAAACAAGAAACGTTAAGGTGTTGTAAATTTTGTTTCGTGTTGTAGAGATTTCTAGCAGAAAATAACACTAAAAGACGGGACGAAGCAAGGACACAAACTACGGCGCTGACTAACAAGCAAATTCGTTTCATTCTTCTAATCCGCGTATATATACTTTACCACAATCTCAAGGAAACAAAAAAAATAGAATCATGATAAATGCATGCCCCTCATTTCTGAAGCGTATCATTTACAACGGCGGCGAAACATGCATCAGTTTCCCTTATATTTCCCTCTCTCTGAAGGAGTTACCTCTCCTGTCTTATTGAGCATTTCTTTCCTCCTGAGTCAGCCAACATTTGTGTGTGTCTTTTTTTTGCTTTTTCTCACCCTTCAGATTAGTGGTGGAGTGTATATACCTAGACTGGAAGAATAAGACACATTTGGCTGTTAGTCAGTGCCATGGTTGTGTCTCTGCCATGGTTGTGTCCCTGCTTTGTCCCATCCTTTAGCACTGTTTTCTACAGGAAACACTGTACTAACCAGCTAAAATGCATGCCGCACTGTGTTGTAGTGACTCATCTTGCTAGGGCGCAGCCTGATTTTTTTGTTTCTTAGCTTTGTGACACGTAGCAGCTTCCACATAGCGTGAGTCAACCCAAGATGTTTGCAGGAATCTGACTGGATCAGTGTAATTGTTTCCTATGCGAAGCCATCAGCATGCTTATTGCTGACTAGTGCTAACGCCGCAGCGTGTTGGTCGGTATGGCTACTGCAGCTGAAGATAGCTGGTGATATTGATAGTAACTGCACTCTTCGTGCTGGTGAGACACGAGAAAGTGACAAAGTCAACCGGCCAAACATAGCTGGGCTCCAGCTCTCGTCAGCCACCACAAACATTCTGAGAAACATGTAGTGACATTGGCATAAGTCCAAGCTAGTGCAGGCTACACTGAGGAGCATTTGTGTTAATGGAACAATGTCACCAAAATTACGAGCTTGAAATGTTTGTGTTGTTTGTCTTGCAGTTGGGGCACTATGCTTGTCAGTTAAACCTGTCGCTTCGAGGAATATTCGTAATGAACACCCATCCCGACTCATTGTTTCCCACGCATGGTGCCCAAATTCAAAAAGTGCGCTCTGAACGTCACAAAAGCCCGAGTCTACATAGTCTTATGACTCCTGAGATTGTTCGCTGTGTAATTTTTTGTGATTCCAGTAGTAGTTTTACAGTGATGCCAAAATTAGTCACAAGGAGCCATTCTTGCATTAATTACACAGTACATTGCAATATTTATGATCAAAGTTTGGGGACTACCGGACACAATGCTCTTAATTAAAGCATTCAAGTCAAAACAAAAATTTGTCAGGGGTCCTTTAGGCATGGTGACTGCTGCTGTGAGAAATGGCTTCTTTGTCATGCAATTTGGTTATTGCTTGTGCATTAACATTTCATTTGCCTGATGAAAATTTGCATGGACAAACGTTCTGCATTTCTTAGTCTTTGTTCAGCTTTTCTTACCATCAAAACGGCGTGAAATTATAATGATCATTGCAACTTTGTCTTGTAAAAGGGCCCTGGAACCCTTATTTCACCTCAACAACAAACATTGTCAATCTGTTATCAATGCGCCTGCCAACGTGCACATGTGTACAATGCTTACAATAAACATGCTTTTCACATTTTATTCATTTTTCTTCAAGTTGAAAATTTCACGGAGAAGATTCATCTTTTCTTTGTGCATTTCTTCTCGTCGCTGTGTTTTAGCAAGTCGTCGCTCTTCCCTCTTGCTGTCTCTTTCAGCCTTTCGCTCTGCTCGCCGTTCATCTAACTCCTTCATTTTTTCAAAGAAGGTTTGCAGGTGGAGCTCGCGTGCTGAATTCGGGCGTTTTCTTTTTGAATCAGGAGTGTCGTCCTGCCCAACGGAGCTGGATGGAGAGTGTGACGTTGACGAGCTTGAACCAGCAAGTGGAACAGACTCGGTGGATGACTGTGGACATGTCTTTTTTGATACCACTCCACTTGCGTCGCGTACCACTTCTGGTTCCAAGCTGTCGTCCAGCCACTTGATTTTTTCAAGCTCGGCCTCGTAGGGGACTTCTTGTGGGGAACAGCCAGACGTATTATTTTTCCCAGCTGCCACATTTTTTCTTTTCAGTACGGTTTTGTACCGAGAGCAGCACTGCTCACCAGTTCTCATTACACCCAGTTTATTATTAATGTCTGTTGCAATTTTTTCAAACATGGCCTTTTTGTTGCGAAATTTTTTCAGAGGGCCAACTTGAGGGAAATATGAGGCGTAGAGGTCCAGCAGCAGCTTCGTCTCGCCACTCGTCCACTCACACCCTGCAGCTGAAATATGCATTATACACACATAAAATACATATAAACTGGCATTAATAGACTTTTTTGATACAGGGCACGAAGCTATATGCTCTCTGAGCCATAGAACACTTACTGTAAAGCATTAGTACTGTCACACTGTTTTGGCACAGCAAATATTGGGTGCTGTGGGGATCGCTTTGCATATCAGAACAGACAATCATGCAAATTCATAATATTACTATACATAACTTATTCACAGCATAATTTTCTTAGAGAGTAAATTTGAAAACACTGCATAATAAATATGGGGCCTCTTCGTGCAGCTGACTATTCGTTGAATTCAATTTTATTATTTAAGCACCCAATATTGAGAAGCGTGAGCAAGAAGCCATTAAATGGTTTTGCGTAATTCGTGGTTTTTTTGAGAGGGTTTGCAATCTGCTGGACCTATCTTCATCCTAATGCCACTAGCATGTTTGTGTATGCATGCTTACCACGTGCAGGAGTCCCTGGCTGACAAGCCCGACTTGGTGACGCACCAGTAGACGCTGCAGAATCTGTGTTTGATAATTGAAAAGCATTGTAGTATGTTAATATGTGTTAATTTTAAGCAGGTACACAATTTTCTTCAAGTAGTCCTTACACGTTGCTCGTCAAGGCATTGTCCTCTACATATATAGACGACTGTATACAAAACTAGTTCTACAGAGACACATGTAGACCAATTTACCATTTCCTAAAAATGCGCCCTGTGTATGTGACAAAGCGTCGGTGGCGTCACACTGTGTAGCACCTTCAAATAGAGAAAAAGAAAAGACATTTGCGGGTTAACACCAAAAGAGTAGAGGTCAAGAATCACCAAGAAAACGTTACTTCTCTAGTAAATTTTTCATGCATGTATTCATGCGCGAATACAGAGATCGCCATGCATTTTTATTAAAGGTAATAAGCAGCTTGGTGAGCGCTGCGAAAATTCCGGCGCTTGTGATATTCTAAATAGTAGGACTGTAAGGTGTTGGGTAAGCAACTGCTCTGATTAAAAAAAAAAGCCTGCTCACAACATGCCGTATTTTTGCGAGCGCCGATTGCGGCCGTTACCACGTGTACCCGCATGCTTTACAATTATCTGACCAGTCTTCATGCGGAGCTATCAAAGTTAGCATTCCGTGCAGAGTTTATTATCAGCGTCAAGTACGTCGCACTTACCGTTCAGATCGTTGCCGCTGTTTCTGAAAACGCCCAGCAACAGCCGACGCACAGCCGGTGTCAATTCCGCGTGCTCGTCCATACTTGCTACACAACTGCTGTTCGCGACTGCGTTAAAGTGTTCTACAAAGCTTTAACTGCGTGGTCGAAATGCGCGCCCTGCAGTGGCGGCCAAAGTTGCCAAGGAAACGAAGAGAGCGGAAAAAGAAACTGTTTCCGGAACCGGTTTGCGTGACGTATGCATAATCAACTTCCGGGGCACCTCTCACGGAGCATTCTCGTGTTTCACTGGCAGAGGTGGCTTCGTGCGATCCGAGTGCTCGCTCCGGGATTTCGGCGGTCGCTCTGAATCTCCCAGTGAAAAACACCATAAGGCTCCACGACTAGGCCTAGTGAGCCAGTCGCCCCCGAGTTTGGTCTGTATGGTCTTTCACCCGAGCTTCGCATGTGCTAAGGTGGTCCTGTCACCTTGTCGGGCTTTACCCGCAAGGTCCGTGTTGGCCCCTTCTGTAGGCTCGGCTACTTTACTCGTCGAGGCGGAAGGTGGTTCCCTTCTTCGAGAAGGACTAAGCCGGCTTTCAGCCGTGCCGGTTTCCGTGGGTATGTCTGGTTTGCGTGCAGCGGCACTGGCCTCTGCACCAAATAGTAGTCCCGTAGACCCCACAGGACGGATTGTGTCTTACTGCGCCCTTGTGGTGAGGAGACGGGCCATGACCGCAAAGCGCCTCGCGCTGAGCGATAGCCCATCTGCCCTGAGGGGGTGTCGTCGCAGGCTCTCAGCCGCGAGACAGTGTGAGGGCACGGGCACTTTGGTTGTGGTGACTGAAGTTACTGCGACCGAGGGCTGCCCCGCTGCCACGTTTTTGGGTACGTCCGCTTTGCGTGTGGTGGCGAGAGCTACCGTGCCGAAGGGTAGCCCCTGTGTCAAGTCTCGCTGGGCCCTATTGGTCAGGAGACGGGCCATGACCGCAGCGCACCCTACGCGCTGTGATAGCCCACCTTGCCGGGGTACGTTCACTTTGCGCGTTGCGACTGAAGTTGCTTCGCCAGAGGGTAGTCCCTTTATCAGGCCTCTCCGGCTTGTACGCCAGAAGGCAGGCCGCGTCTGTTCGGCGCCTGGCGCCGAACGGTGGCCCCCTTGCCAGGGCATGGCCGTCTGCCCGAAACAAATCTTCCCCCCAAACAACCCTGGGGGGAGGTGGTACCGGGACAGACGTAGGATGATGATGGGTTGATGAGTTAAGTGTGACTCTGGGACAAAGCGTTTCGGCGCCGCGTCTCCTTCCTATCTGACAACGGTGCCAAGGTTGTAGAGGATAAAAAGGGCTCATCGCATCGTTTCGTATCGGGCCGGATTCATTGCCGTCTTTCCGTGGTCGCCCTTTGCGAACGGACTGAAGGGGATCTATGAAGGATCGCGGGGGCGCAAAAACAAAATGTAACGGCGTGCCGAGGTGGGTCCCACCGGCGTCAGCCGCGCATTTGTGCCGTTGTTGTCGCTAACTGCCGGCAGATGACGCCAGAAGGTTAACAACCTCTCACGCCTCTCTCAAGTTACATCTTCACACTTCTTTATAGCGGCATTGCATGGTTTCGCATGGGCTATGCAGTGTGTACTAGACAGGGTGTGAGAATGGGCATGCATACTTATTGAACACTTTCGTAGTTAATAATTATAAGTAATAATCAAAAGAGGGAGGGGGAGGGGGGCAAGCATGGCGCTTTTCGTTTTGTTCTTTGTGCACGTATGTAGTCGTTCTTGTTCTTGCGTTTATTGTTTTGGGAGCGTGTTAGCGTGATTTCGTCGAATGTGGCCCATTTCGCGCAATTTTTATCTGTCCTTGACATTGTAATTACTTCACAATTTGGCGTTTTCGTTCGGACAGACTCAAAATTGCACTAAAGCTGCATGGCCCGCTTTTTTACTGCCTTTCGTACGTAACAAATATATTTGTGCTCAGCCTCCTAGTATACTATATAGCCGCAGCAATAATAATAATAAAGTGAACTATTAGAATATTGGTTGATATGTGCGGTTCAACGTCCCAAAACCACCTTATGATTATGAGAGACGCTTAGTAGAGGGCCCCGGAAAAATTATTAGAAGACGCTTGATATAACCATCTCTTGAAGCCTTTCTCAAATAGCTGGTGGTTGAAAAGGAATGTAATTTGAGAAAGCTGCCCTGTTCATGACGGAGAGGTGGAATTTGGCATCATGGACTTGGTCTTGTTTTGTTCACGGGGTTCAACGGGGTGGTTACGAGGTGAACATACGCGCGTTTATAATCGTAGCAGTTGTGTGCACGTCGTGGGCTAACCGCAAACATCGGCGTTTAAAGGGTAACTCACGAGTCGCGTTAGAGCACAGACGTCAGCGTTATCAAACTGAAATGCACTTTACGGTGCACTTTAAATGCACTTTACGGTTCTCGCCGTTCCTGGTTAGATATAAAGTCCGTTCCTGGTTAGATATAAGACCTGTGGCTCACACCCGCATACAGCGGCCAGTGGTGTACGGGTGTCTGTCACACGTGTCTGGAGGAAAGCGTTTGTTGATGCACGTGGCAAGATTTCACAACTTAGCTTGAACTAGCGTGGCACATATGAAAAAAAAAAAAAGACAGGATGACACAGACGTCAAGGAAGGAAGGCGCTAAACATCCACTTGTTTATTTCATGTCCTTAACAAACCATCTTATACGTGTGTAAAAACAAAACTCATCTTGCACGTGGTCACACTTCAAGATGCAATTCTTTATCCGTCAATGCCATTTATGGCGTACTCACACACGTCCCCCATATCTGCTATGGCCTCAGCTTCTTTAGTTGCAAGTGTCAGCTGATTCTGAGACCGACCAATAACAATGCACCTGTACAGATTAGGAGAGCCCCCATAACCCTTGCGCCCACAACCGCTGCTATGAACCCTCCCGCTAGCGCCTACTTTTTTTTGACGTCGGTGTAGTCTTTTCCTTTTTAAATGCAAAGCGTTTCTTAGCGAACTTCGAGCGCATCTATCTATCTATATTTGTCTCTCTGTCTATCTATCTATCCATCTATATATCTATCTATCTAGCCGCCTACGACTTCTAGCTCTCCTGGTCGTTTCGATAATGGTATCGATACCAAACTCGGTATGGCATAACATGAGAGAGAGAGAAGGAATTGAGGAAAGGTAGGGAGGTTAACTAGACTACGCGCCCAGTTTGCTACCCTACACATGGGAAGGGGGGAATAAAAAATAGAGAGAAGGATAGACACATGTCACATCACACACACAATGCCGAGTTTCACAGATGGTCCCTCAATGAAGTTGCTGACAAGTATCTCGGGAGGGCTCGTGTGGCTTTCTGTGCTGATGTGCTGCGCGACCAGGCTCCTAAGATCTTTGCTTCATTAAATGGCCGGTCATCGAGTCTATTCAAGGCACACTGGAGAGTCCAGCGATCTTCATCAAATTGGGCACAGTGGCACAAGAGATGTTCAATAGTCTCTATACAGTTCCAGCTTTCACACATGGATGAATCCACCATGCCAATGAGATGACTGAATGACTTAGTGAACGCTACCCCAGTCCACAGCGGGCTTAGCATTGTAGCGTCACGTCGATAAATGTTGGATGGTAGTTGTTTCTGACGTAATGACTTCAGATTCTTAGGGTGATGATTAGTGGAGAATTCCAGTGCGCAAGCGTGGCATTATGCGCGATGTGACGAAGTTCTCTAGCTGCGTCTACTCTTGACAAGGGTATTAACAGTGTGGGCGCTCCATCGTGGGAACATCGGGAAGCGTCGTCGGCGAGGTGGTTACCACTGATGCCACAGTGGCCCGGCAACCATTGTAAAACAATGTCATGCCCTTGATGAGCAGCGCGATGACAAATTTCATTAATACGATACACCATCTGGTGGTAGTTTCCACGTCGTAGACTTCGCACGCTTTGAAGGGCTGCCTTGGAGTCACAGAAAATGGCCCATCTACTAGGGTATTCTTGCGTAACAAACTCCACAGCGGCTCGAAGAGCGGCGAGCTCGGATCCCGTAGATGTCGTGACGTGTGATGTCTTGAATTTGACGGTGATTGATCGAGATGGTATGACAAAGGCACCTGTCGAACTTCCCGAGACCGAACCGTCCGTGTAAACATGAATTCGGTTAGCATACGACCGAAACGCAAGAGGTCCAGTGAGATCCCTTACAAAAATCCTATATATGGACTTATATAAAAATCCCCATATATGGCTACATCAGGAATTGGGCATATCTGGCCCATATACGGAATCCCCATATATGGGCCGTATATAAACTGATATGTTCAAATCCTGATATAGCCATATATGGGCCTTATATCCCCATATATGGGTGCTGCTGTATATGGCCATATATGGCTATATATAGAGGCATCCATATAAGGTCTTATATGGATGCTTTCATATATGGCCTTATATGGATACCTTTATATAAAGCCATTCAAATGATTCATCTATATTAGTTCAGCCTGTGTCACCGGCAAAAAATATAGCTGCTCAAATCATTCTTCAGCTAGAAATATACCTGTTTGTTGAAAGGTCTGCATGCAGTCACTATCACCTCCAAAACAAAGGCAGTACATACCCCAGAACATTCTTGTTCAATTAAGTTATCCTCAATATATCTCAAGTTATTCTCAACAACAATTTGCTAAAATGTAACTTGGCATCATATTTAAAGTTTGTGGTGGGCACATGTCACTGTTAGTCCACTTTTCCTGAAGAGATACATTCTTTGTGCTTAAATTTATTGCTTACTTATCGACACTTTTTTATTTATCTATTTATTTCATTACCCACAGCACCAATTGGCATTACATTGGGGGAGCATTTACAAAAAGTAGAATACAAAAAATACATAGTCAGCCAAACAAATAATCAAAGTCACCTGAATCACAATCTGCAAGAGAAATTCATATATAAATCGGAACATGTTCTAACATATAAATCGGAACTATTCTAACATGAAATAAAACAAATATTTGGGAGTGTAGAGGCAATGCTAGAAGGCAGCTGGTTCCATCTTGTAATTTTTTTTGGTAACAAATCATTTTGAAACACGTCAGTCTTGCATGCGATTATTCTTATCTTGAACCTATGGTCAACACGGTCTGAGACATAGTACGGTGCAAGTAAATATTCCGCTTTATCGATTCCGACTTGACAAAAATAAATAGCATAAAAGAACCCAATTTGAGTTTCGTAAAGATATATTTCACAGTGTGTTATGTTTAAAACTTTTCTCGTGTGTCAATGGAGCGTCCATAGTCAGTCAAAACGAAATATGACTTGCTATTGACCGTATGAACTATGTGTGCATTGAATAACTTAAATGAG